CTTCCGCGCTAACGGAACAACCTCTCCTCTCTCTGACCGGCTGCTAACAGCGGTTGTCATTTGGCGTACCATAGCGGGCGAAAGTCATCAGACCCGGAAGCTTCCCGTTTATGATTCAGGATGTGAAGCTATGCACATCGTTGTTGGCCAATTTCGTAACTTCTTGCAATTTGAGCAGTCACAGTGCCGGATTCGTGGAGGAGCGAGTAGCGTCGTACGTTTTTTCTTATCTCTCACGAGATGGAGCCCTTCGACCCCCAGTGAGGGCATTTACTCAGCACTTCGCAGTCCCCAGCTAATGTGGGAGCACAATCTATAGGGTAGTTCTTCGGTACTTACAAATAAGCGAAATCCATAACCCCTACGATTGACTCTCTTCAGCTATCTATACTGGTCTTGGATTTTGTCATGACTACCACTGTCCCTTGGTGTACGGTCCCTCTAATAAACACATGCTTGATGCCTTATTCTTAGGCATGTTTCCAGTTCCTTGTCCATCCGGGGCAGGTCTTTGATTGTGGGTACAGGTACGTTATCGCACCTTGCGTTGCAAGCGGAGGCACGGAATTTCTTAAGCAAGTGTGATTTGCAATTTTGTGGACTGCGGTTGAGGGCGCCCCTCAACATACTAGCTGCCCCGTTGTGGCCGTTCAGCGAGCGCACGTCTCATAAACCACCAGGAGTACTATTGGTGCACAATATATGATTGAAAGATATATAGTTACATATATAGACCATCACACATCTAACCGTTTCGAACGTTTGGCCACACGCACAGAGTTGCAAGTCCACGATCTTATCCCTCAACTGATGGCGTCAACCTGGATAACGCTGATTTATTCATTCAAACCCTCTCAATTTCCAATTATTGTCTTCAGGCTGGCAAATGCAAAATTTACAGTTGACCACTGGCCGTTTGCTGTTTTGGCGACCGGCTGTGTGTCGGCTTTCTGCTCGCTTAACGAAAACCTGTTTGGCTCTTTCCCGGAAATGTGTGCTCAGTATCAATTGAAGGCTTTCATCGAAGACAAGTTGGTGACCCAACTGCAGGCAACGAGAGTGGTATTCCGCTGCCAAGTCATGCTGTGGTAATTACATAGCCGAAAANTGTGCTGCTGCCACGACCATATATGTCTTCACAAATGGCTTGATTGCCACACCTCAGTGCGGGGCAGTATTTGGAGATCAACCCAGTCAACGAGTCAAAGTGTCTTCGGTCCGTTTTTTCCTGGGTGCTAGCAGAGCTGCCTGCAGCTGCTGTGGAGCGACAAAAGTGAGAATGAAAGGCATTTGTCGATTAGTGATAGTGCCTCACGTCGGCTAAAAATGATCTAAGTCTTCTCTGTGGGGACCTTGTGCGGCCATTAACTTTGCTGACAGGTGATGACCTGCTGCAGCACAAGGTGTCGATCGGTAGCCTGGCGAATCGTGCCAGCCGTTACTGGGATTTTGCCAGGCGGTTAACCTCCGATTTCAAGGTGATTGTTACTTCCACGGTTTCCTCCGGTTGTGCCCTACTCGGATTGCGACAATGTGTCAGCCCATCTGGGGCTGTTAACTGGTACATGATTGTGTATTACCGTGTCGAAGAAGCAAAGTGGCACATCGGTGAAGGTTGGCGAACAAATCAAGGATCGGCTTTGGTTCGGTAAGCTGACGGCTTTAGAACCTTTTATGGAACGCCTGACAATAAGCACTGCCGTCAAAGCTCCCTTTTCCATCTGACTGTAAACAGGCTTGACTTGTGTCAGGGATCTGGCCGCATGTGTAATGGCTCTCTGATCGCTGTATAGTAATACAATCAAATTCAACACACCAGCTACGCACATTGAATCATTCAGTGTCACAAATTCAAGTGACAAATCGGAGCATGCGAGAACTGAATCGGAGCTCAGCATAAACTTGACAGAATCAAAGGCGCGTTGTCATCTTTCTGACCATGACAACCTGTAGTTCATTATTATCATCATCGCGATCATCTTCATCTGCGCAAACCATGTAGCTGCCTTAGGGTGGTTTTGGTTGCCAGTTTCGTTCACCGATGCTTGAGGAGACGGAGAATGTGGCTGGACGTTGGATGAAGTAGCTGATATAGCTGACACGTAAATATAGGATCATCTGCATATGTTTCATTGAAAGAAATGGCTTATAAACACGAGCTTTGTTACGAGTTTGGGTGAGACATGTTTGTCACTGTCTCAAATCACTGATGTGCCCCTCGTTGGGGTTCCCATCTAGGAAGGCGGCAATAACCAACGCAACTCAGCTTACTGGTAACGGCTCTCACACTTTGCTAGCAAGTCACTGCTTGTCTCCTATGGCTCGTTTCCACAATTCATGTGGTTATACTGAAAGAGCCCTTCAAGGAAGTCAGTCGACTGGCATGTGGAGCTTTGCTGATCCGGTATTCCCACCAAACCCGGGTAGTGCCCCGAAACTTATCAAACACTAAATTTTTTCGACGTCCTACTTTTGGTCCTCGGTGAGTAGCTGGCTAAGTCTTGCACGGCAGAGGATACCAGGGTAGGATATGAAGCATTTCACGTCTGTAGGTACTGGAATACCTTTAATGACATCGATGTTATGTGAGTTTGATTGGCGTTTGTGCTCGACGACAATGAACCAGAAGTGCTTAATCGGCGACATGAGGGGTCTTTTTCGCGTCGTACTCTGAAATCATCCTCTGGAATACAGCGAAGCACGTAATCAAGGCGCACAACAATTCGTCGGAATTAGAACCACCGCAACAAAATCGTCCGAACAGGCGGAAACACCGTGTGTATCCTTCACCATCATATCCATGATCTGTTGAGTTCTAGTTGGCACAGTCTTGACACAAAACTACAGTCGGATGCACAGCAACAGACCGTAGTGCTCACTCATGTTTGAAACTTCAAGTTATTTCTCCTCGACTGCATTCTTCAGGCAAGTCTCGGCCGATTCAATCCTTGTGGAACATTAACCCCCAATTACCCTATCAAACAGGTCATTTGATAGAGGCAAGTGGTGATGGTTATCCAGTGTAGCACTTAAACTGATGAAGAAGTCTGCACAAAACCGGCCGGTCCCGTCAGCCTTCACCAGCATGATTGACGTGGCCTGTGGCAAGTGGTTGGTCGGCTGGAGGAAAACAGCCTCGTAAAATCGTTCTAGGCCCTCCTCCACGTAAATAGGCGTTTCGGCGTGAAAACCAATCTGGAATTTTGGAGAAGGTTCAGTCACTTCAGTCACTCACTTTCATGCGCCGTCCAAGACCGTCGGGTACATAGCGTTGCAGGACGCTCTCAGATAAACGCTTTGAAAAAAGAATATTTTTGAATATATATATGAATATATTTTTGGCACCTTTGGGAGCCGCGCCAGTGATTGAAAATAAATCAATAGGCTTCTTCAATATGTTCAAATCACCGATCCCATGAGGCCCCCTGAGCTCAAGCTTGGGGTGGGGCAACAGGAACGCATGGGTCCTAACAGAACCCAGCTTAGTCGTCACGAATACGCCTCTCTCTGTGTTTGGTTGAATCCCGAGGAAAAGAAGAGAATGCGTCTATCATAATACAGCTATCACACTGGTCTGTGGCTTCTGTAAGGCAGGTGAGGTCCCAGCCAACCATTCTATCTTTAGTAGTACTTCACTAACGTTTCTTTTTCTGTGTGTTGTGTCCAAGTGGGCCACAGCGCTCTTCACTGTACTGGCTTATCTCCAGTGTGGTCGGTCTCCATCGAGTTCACTTATCTTTCTCCTTAAGATTCTCCCACTCAAGTACTTAGTCTATACAACGCGAAAGAACAAATTAAGTCATTCTCCTAGCTACCACATAGTTACAACATTTTTCATAATATCTTTGTGATGTACTACTCACAGGGCTACTGAAAATTCATCGATAGCCCACGACCGGTTTCGCCCATATTTAGGCTCACCGTGTAGACGCAGTCCCCGGGTTTCCGTCAACCTCATGGTCTACTTGAAACCAACTTGCACGAATTTAGCGAATATACACTCATTTGCAAACTAATATGGTTTTTCGAGAGACTCACCTCGAATTCGGCTGAATCTTTCGTTTCTGTGTTTTATTTCTTCCATTATTGGGCGATTAAGGTTTACAGTCCATCCTATCACATGCATTGTCCCCACGGGTGGTGTTGCGCGAGGCCAGCCAAACTGCTCTTCCAAGTGCTGGATCCATTTTTTCAGTCGACGTTTTATTGTGTGAATAATTAAGTCGCTTTTTTCATTCATTGTTTTAGTGATGATTGCCTTCTTGGGTCCAGCCGCCCGTATCAGTGTTTCCATCTCCCAAGCCTTCGATGTCCATCCGAACTCTCAGTCTCCCCGTAATCTCTTCAATATTTGGTGTTTAAGAGATTAGCGCGCGATGTTGTACTCGTTGCCCACTGGTACTGGTTTCCTGGCATCACTCAGGACTAGCAATGTCGACTTTATCCGGTGGTCATTTGACTGCATCCCAGAAGTCGGACAGATAGCAGTAAACGCCATACAGGTAGCAGTAAACGCCGTTAGCCTAGCTCCTTCCACTTTACCATGCTTCAACAGGATGCCCACTAACGCCAAAATGTTGGCTGATTGTACGGTAGATAAATCGGCTTAAATCAACATTGCTGACCTATGGCAGTTCTCTGGAGGTGAGAGATTGACACGTCCCCTTCTGACTTGCGGCGGCCTGAAGGCGTCGTCGCATCATGAAAAATCGGAATAAATTTATGTGCCCCAGAAAGAAAAGTGATCCTTCAAAGGGGGACTGATGGCCACGTGATCCAACTGGTTCCACAGTTAATTTGAACTTGGTGGCCGCCAGGTTTTGTGATGGGGGCGTTCATGTTGAAAACCAGTACTGGCCAGAAACAGTTGATGATCAGCACGCGACTGAAGAATTCGCTGTCCATTGTTTTTGCGACGAGTATCAACTCCAAAGCAACCGCTCAGATGTGATTACACAAAGCCCAAGCATCAACTCCAAAGCGACTGCTCAGATGTGATTCCACAAAGCCCAGACAACCGACCTGGTCATTTATATCATACGCAAAGATGACAGTGCCGGTGCTTCTTGCTGGAGAATAATGAACCTGGACAAATCTGCTTCAGGTCTACACTTTAAGACCCAAGAGCTGTGTCACAGGTCCCCGTCAAGCAATCGCCTGAACTTCCAGGGACATAACAAGTATCATAAAAATCACTCCACAAAAATCACTCACAAAAATCACTTCCTAGTTAGTCACCAAAACAACGTTGGTACCGTTCACAGTCTGCGCTTTTGCATTTGAAATTACACCCTCAAGTGTCCATCTCTAACTGGCTAACGAACGACTCCATAAACAGAAGCTTGTGCATTATAAGGACGCGAAAATTGATGTCACGCCCATACGAGTGCGGTGGTATCCGAGACTAAGCAACTCAAGCGTGAGGCCCCGATCACAAATATTAAAACCGTTCTCGTTGCTAGTCTCGGCATCAGTTTTAATTTTAAATTGTTGCTCCTCGTGCATGGAAATGCCCCTGCGCTCCGCGCTTCATTACTAGCCAATTAAGCGTTTTCACAAGTTTCAATAATATATATTTGTTCCGCAGAAAAATTAGCCGTCGAAAAGCTCATAAGGTGGTGTACCTTCTAGTCACAGCCCAAGAAATAAAATCAGAAATGATAGTCATTCAGTTGTAGTACGTTTTTTGTGTCTAGCTCCCATGCACTCCAAGGGACGCTCGGGTGTCGATATTCTGCAAGGTCACCCAAGTTTTATTTGTCTAAGAATACACGTGCCTAGTCTGAAAGCGTGGCTACTGCGAAGCGATGATGTAAACACAAAGTACAGTCATGACATGGCCTAGTTTCTGACGTCGCCGGTTCGCACAGATTGTGACCAAAGTGACAGTATGGACCCTTATAGCACAATTTTTCGGCAGTGAGTCGCCTAGAAAGCCATCTGTTTATGTTGATTTTGGAGTGTCAAGCCAAGTACTAAAGAGGAAAGAAAAATCCTCTCCCTGAAGGATGCTTCGTGGAGCGGTATGATGCACTACATCGCACGGCCCGTCGAAGTCTATAGATTTCGTGTACACTTGACGGCCTTGACCTGCCAAACGGAACCAACTTCCGCGCGCCGGGATAAAATCCGTAACTTGAGCCCTGTCAGAATGCATTCTGCTCCCGCGTTTCCGCTTTTACAAGTCCTGTTCCAATATGCTGCTGTAATGGCTTCAATCTCCGAGTCTCCACAACCTTATTGATCGAGATCAAGCTGACTTGGAAGTATTCGGTATGATCAAACTTGTCACTCACAATCTAGAACGGTTTGATGATAGCTCACTTCCGCACTAACGGAACAATCTCTCCTCTCTCTGACCGGCTGTTCACAGCGGTTGTCATTTGGGGCAGCATAGCGGGCGAGTCATCAGACCCAGAAACTTCCTGTTTATGATTCAGGATGTGGAGCTATGCGCATCGTTGTTGACCAATTTCGTAACTTCTTGCAATTTGAGCACTCACAGTGTCAGATTCGTGGAGGAGCGAGTAGCGTTGCTCGCTCTACCTTGTCTCTCACGAGACGGGGTTCTTCGACCCCCAGTGAGGGCATTTACTCAGCTCTTCGCAGTCGTCAGCTAATGTGGGAGCACAATCCATAGGGTAGTTC